CTCGGTGTTAAATGTGAATGATGAAGCATCGTTTTGTAACGGCAGGCTGAAAAAACTTGAAACACACATGTAAGGACGGGCAGAAGCTTTCTTCACTTATTTGACGTGTCAGCGTCACCTGATTGTGTGATTGGGGCAGCTCCAGCCTTTCATCGCCGCTGGTTCAAATATCATGACTAAATCTATGTTGTGGAACAACTGGCCTGGAAATGTTGGCCCCTGCCTGGTAGACTTCGGTTGTTTGTTCTATCATCACCGTCTTGACGAGTGTAGTTGTGTTAGTGTAACTAAGAGGGGCTTGTGTGACACTTTATTTTGAAACCGTTTGGACTATCAAAAGAAGCCACCTCCCTGCTTATGACACGATATCATCTACAGAACGTATTTTCTTTCAATGGGTCGTCTTTGACTTTTTGTTTTTTCCTTTTCTGAGTTCTCTTCTCTTTTGAATATTTAAAAAAAAAAATTTTTAGACTCCAGTTTTAAAGAGGCGACATAATTTGCTGATTATTAACACGTTTTTATTAACTCAGCTTCGCGTGTGTTTGTTGTTAAAATTGACATCGAAAATTAGCCCACTTCTGATTGTTCTATAGTTCTGAAATTTGGCATGCAGGCTACTTTCGCCTAACAATTTCAGATGCAATCATAAAAACTAGCAATTAGAGACCGTAATTAGCTTAATTTAATTACGCCCTAAGGACCATAAAATTGAGGACATGATTTCTAAAGATACCGACAAGACTGGAGGCCTATTGACACAGTTACTTCGGCCCCAATCGATGTGACCGCGCTGGCCGTGATCGTATAGTGGTTAGTACTTCGCGTTGTGGCCGCGACAACCCAGGTTCGAATCCTGGTCGCTCAAGATTTTTAGTCCGTGTATTTATAAACACTTAGTCAAGTCATACTTAATCAAGTCATTAGATAAAGTAGAAAATAAACTATATAAAAAACTTTTTTTAAAAACCACGTTTTTCATGTGTAGCAACGGACTAAAAAGGAGAAAATAAAATACTTAAAAAAAACTTTTTAAAAAACCACGTTTTTCTTGTGGACTAAAAAGTAGAAAATAACTATTTACATACATTTGATGACAAAAAACGTGGGTCGGGCAGATGGGTCGGGAAATTTGATGGTGAACGTACCCACGTTTTTTTGTCATCAAATGTATGTAAATAGTTATTTTCTACTTTTTAGTCCACAAGAAAAACGTGGTTTTTTAAAAAGTTTTTTTTAAGTATTTTATTTTCTCCTTTTTAGTCCGTTGCTACACATGAAAAACGTGGTTTTTAAAAAAAGTTTTTTATATAGTTTATTTTTACTTGGGTTTGTTATGGTGACTTTGAACGCTCGTACAAGGGAAACAAGCAAGCAATTTCTCTCCCTCTCTCTCTCTCTCTCTCTCTCTCTCTCTCTCTCTCTCTCTGTATGTTGTCATGGAAACTGTTTAAGTTTTAAACGTTATTTATTGTTGTCTGTGATATTTCTATACACAGAGACCAGGATCTATGTCACCTAGGTCAAATGTAAATTTTTGACTTTTCTGCTCTTTCTTCCATCTCCAGGTCGTGTATTCCCCTTTTGTTATTATTTGTTTCTTTCTTTAATAAACAATTTTTGACACACGAGGTACCAGTCTAGCCTGTTTCTCCTTCATTGGTTTTACCAACACTATCAAGATGCTGCGTGGATCGCTTTCTTGTTTGACATATCGCTTGTAATCCAAGATTTTATATTTGTTTTTTGACATTGCTTGCATCAGTTGCTCCTCATATAATATCCTGTTTTTTTTTTCCCTTACACTTTCTGCGTTGTGTACATAATTCATATTACTCCAGTCTTCTTCTCCCCCCCCCCCCCCCCCCCCCACACAAATACACTTTTTTCTCTGCTTACATTCTGCTACGTTGTGTCAGCCTTGTGATAAAACCAGACACGGTTTAAAGTCTATAAATAAAATGGCCACCCATTATGATGTATTCTTTTCATAATAAGCCTGTTTCTTAAATACGAATGTTGCGTTGTGGCATAGCTATATTTTTAAGATTATACATTTGATTAATAGTTATAGTGAACTACTGTGACAGTTGCGAAAATAAACTGGTAGTCTTTTTGTTGAGATGACGTTAGGGTGACACCTTTGCAACTTATTATAACGTTTATTGTTTACGTAGTTAAATTCTTTTCAAAGATTTTACTGTACGTTTATCAATGAAGGGTAGTGTAGACGGTGTTAACCTGTAGCCTGGGAGGTCGAGATAGGATCGAGATACCAGGAAGTCGGTTGGGGGAAATCTAGATGCTGTGATCATCTAGAATTCTGTTTACATATGGCGAGAAATAGATTTTTTTATTATATATACTTATATATTTTTCACTTGCTTCCTAATTCAGTTGCTTGTTTTCTTATAGCTTTAGGACAGATTTTGCTCCAATCTTAATAGCGTGATGTAAGAGGTAAATCGTCCTGAAATTGTGCCAGTATCTTGATCTTCAATCATGTGCGGCCAATATGTCAATTTTTTTTTTTTTTTTATCATTTAATGAACTTTGAAACACTACGTTTGCGCGTGGTAGAACTCCGCTAAAATACACGTTTTTATGTTTAGTATTTTTTTTTTAATTATGTTGTAGAAAAACTCGTTATAACATGATTTGCAATATATTGACTCGATTTCATGATGTTATAATTGATGTTACTTGTGAGCCCAGTGGAAACATTTTACAACGCCTAGCTCCTATGACTTGATTTGTTGTGATTTGACTTCTCGCTGATTTTCTTTTAATCCCAATGTTATGTCATTTAGAAACTCCCTGTCACAAATCACATTTCCTGGCGGTTTTCACAATGATGCCAATGTTTTGAAATGTGTAGCTAATTGCTTCTGCCAATTGTAAATTCGCTTTTATACTGTACATCGTCTTGTATTCTACGCGATCTTATCGAGATATCTTGTGTTTGTGTAAAAGAATTATATTTTTTTTTGCCGACTGCAGTTATTGGTGGTCCGTGAAGGCGAGCCCAGCTCTAGCACAGAGGTTTCTCTGTAGGTTTAATGAGACGCGCAATGTGGCTAGCTATAGGGCTGGTAAGTAGGTCACCAACCAGCTTTACGGCTCAATAAAACCTGCATTAGCCACAGACCTGGTTGGTGACCTACTTACCAGCCCTATTGTTAACATCATCGCCGGGTTTCCACACCGGAAGACGTAATTATCAAAGCAGTGATGCGAGTCGCAGACTATCAGCCGACTTTTGGTTCCTAGGGTGAACGGAGCGGGTGTATTGGGGTTGTGTTCGCTCCCCATAAATCAGTCAATTCGTCGTTCTCATCTTCATTTTTTAAACTCGAAACTAAATTTATGAGCTGTTTGTTTTTTAAATTAGGTATGAAACAAAAATATTTTAATAAATTGTATTGCACCTATTGATGAAGGGTGCGACACGGCGTCTGCCATTTTAAAGAATTTTACCTTTTTTTTTTAATGGTAAACTCGTTATTAGCAATCAATTGCTTCCGTTGTTTCTATTTTAGCAAATTGAAAAGTATAGAGTTGCTTGAGTTGTGTATGGACATCAATCAGCATAACACAAAGATAGCCACAACTTCCTTTTCTCGAGTTTTATTATCACTAGTCTTATAGACCTAGAGACGAAATGCGAGGGTGATTTCTTTGTATTTTAAAGCGTGTAATGCCGCTTGTTTCTGACATGATTGCCCTTACTGTCAGCTGAGATCACGCGAGAATGTGGTTATGTTGTTGTGCCGGCTGGTGTTGTTGGTGTGTACATACCCGCTGGCTGATGACTTGTGATATTGAGGCTGATGTTGGCTCAAACCTCCCGGCTTGTAAGGGTTTGTTACGATCAAACTTCATTGCAAACTGCGGCGGTTTCCTGTGGTAGCGGCCTGGCTCTAACGCCACCTGACATCAGCGCTTATGAAAGAGAATACTTGCACGCAATAACCTGCAGCCTTCAAACTTGTGTCAGCCGCCATGCGGGGGGAGACGCCCCCAGGTCTTGCCGGGCGGCTCTCTGCTCTATTTCAATGCGACATTTTTACAATTATTTGAAACAAAATAATTACAACCTTTACCCTCGGAGGTCGGTAGTAAAATATTTGCAGACGTTCTTTGCATGTTGTTTTACATTATTTAATTATTTTTAAGGTCATCTAGTTTTTGAGAGAATTTCAGTTTAAATATTTTTGATTTAAGTTGATCTATATTAGCACACCTTTATACTACATTCTAGCCAGTTATCTGCATTAGATGAATACAAAGATAAAAAACTTAAAGTAGTATCACCGCATTTCATTATTATATAAGCAAAAATAACAATATTTTAATTTGTCACATTTCTACAGTCATATTTTATTTGTTTTGAATCCTAATCTTGGATTGAAAACCGAATTCAAACATTTTGTTAATATCGAAAGCACTTGAGCACAACCTGTAATACAATGTTTTGTATTCTGTTATTGCAGATTCACGGCAACTATTTCCACTATTGGCCACTTAACTATTTGTTTGAAAATCCTTTAAGATTGATTTCCCCTCTGAATTGTATTTGAGTACTAGAAGTCGTCACCGGGTGATAGTGTTGTAACGACTGTACATTCTCTCATCATCATGAGATAGTGTTGTAACAACTGTACATTCTCTCATCATCATGTGATAGTGTTGTAACAACTGTACATTCTCTCATCATCATGAGATAGTGTTGTAACAACTGTACATTCTCTCATCATCATGTGATAGTGTTGTAACAACTGTACATTCTCTCATCATCATGTGATAGTGTTGTAACAACTGTACATTCTCTCATCATCATGTGATAGTGTTGTAACAACTGTACATTCTCTCATCATCATGTGATAGTGTTGTAACAACTGTACATTCTCTCATCATCATGAGATAGTGTTGTAACAACTGTACATTCTCTCATCATCAGGTAATAGTGTTATAACAACTGTACATTCTCTCATCACCAGGCGGTAACGTTGTGAAGATCTGGGATGCCCTAGCTGGTGGCAAGCTGATGGCAACATTAAACAACCACCACAAGACAGTTACCTCGCTCTGTTTCTGTAGCAAATACGAACGTTTTATGTCTGCATCCTTGGACAAGTAAGTTTTTCCATATGCTCATTAACTCAACTTAATCATCTACCAGAGTTTCATAATCGCTTTATTTATTGATCAAGTGCCACCCACTTTAAACATAAGTTTAAAGCCGCCATTTTTTTTTAAACAATCTACTGCTCAGTTTTATTTAATGTTTCATTTCATGTCCTCACCTATATTTTATGTTTCATTTCCTGAATGGGTATTTGAGGCTTGATTTAGTTTTTGTTGTGTCAAAAAGGTTGAGGCAGACTGCGAGTTAACATTGCTAATTTTTTTTTTAATCAGGACGTTAGATTTCTATGTAACAAGACTTGTTATACGTCTACCCATCTCAACTCTTCCGTCTTAATTTGTTGTAAAATAGTAAACTACTTATAGTGTCGATCTCTCCAAATAAAGAAATAACTTTTTTTTGGGGGGGGGGGGGGGGGGCGTTAAAGCCTAAGCGGTCATTGTCTGGAACACTTAAGATAATACTATTACGATCCAAATTTAAAAAAAAAAAGTACCAGACTTGTAAGCTGTGTGGTTGATTTCCAAACGTGCATGTCCCTGTCGGTGGCTTGCCCCAACTCTTCAAGTCCAATTTAAATTGTTTAGTCAGCAACCGTCGTACCCTGAAATCTAAGTTTAATTGTAATTTTTAAACTCCAGATATCTAATGAGTTGTATTTTTCTTGTACTTTTAATTACTCATCTCTCAAGGCGGCGGTTTGAAATGTGTGTAAAGTGTATATCGCCTTACAACTCAAGAACTAGCTGTTTGACACTAATGTCTAAACATAAAGGGCAGGGCTCAGCTTAAGGTGGTGCGTGGGTGGAGTGGTGGAGGGGGGGCACCCGGGACTGGGGGGGGGGGGGGGGTGGGGGGGGCAGATTGCGCTTAATTCTAAAAGAAAAACACATGTCTAAGTGAAATAGCTCGGAAATGATGTGTTAAACTGTGTCTAGGGACGGGGGATGAAACAACGTCGCGGCATCGTTAAGTCTTGTAAATCTCCAAACACGCTCGCCGAGATAAAAATCTACCAACAGTACAGCCGAGCCAGGAAGGGAGTTTTTTTTTTCACCCTGTAAGTCATCTCGCTCTCTCCGCCTTTATGTAGTGGGGGTAGAGAGGTGGAGGGGGAAGTGACGCTTATTTGTCTCGTTATTTCATTGATATGATCTTCAGCCGAAGGGGTTCCCGAGGGTGTAAAATCGCACGAGCATCAATTATAGTCCTCTAAAAAAAAGTATCTGTCAACACGTTTGTAATTGTTTCTGTCCTTTTGGTGAGCCGGGTTTTTTTTTTCTACTCGGGGTGAGTGCACCGTGTCTTCGGGTTATTTTCTTCCGGTGTTTTTTTCTTCCCCCTCCCTCCCCCACCCATTCTTTCATCTTATCTGAGATGTACCACGACAAATCGCATATTTCTTTCAAATAGCAACTTTGTTTTTATGTCTTGGTTTTTTACTTGCATGTTGATGTAAATTTACCTTCTATTGACGTGCTCCTTACTTCAATCATTGCATTTTACTAGTCGCTTTAAGAAATTTATTGTGGCGTCCATTAAGTAAGCCAACGAGATTTTTTTTTTTTTAAATGCTAGTAGGGGTTTTATAGTTTTTAAAAATTATGCTTTGTGTCTGTTCCATTTTCTTTAAAATGAGAAAATGAGATACAAAATGGTCAGTTCGCGATACAAAAAGGACAGTTCGAGTTACAAAAGAGCATATGGTTGACTAAACTTTTAAAGTGGACACTTAACGTGTTCACGTGAAGTTTGATAACGTGTACTCTGTAGACAAAAGTGCTCAGCACTAAGGTCTTCTGGCAAATCCTTGGCTTGAGTACTTGTCTCTAATGCTCAACTGTCTTTAGTAGGAGGTGTGGACATCCATATAAATAATGCTAGGTACTGAGGTACTACTTGAGTACCTTTTAGTTCCCGACCTGTAGTTAAATCTGAACCCTGCTCGGTTAAAATACACGGCTTGCCAGAATTGTTTAAGTGTTTGTTTAGAAGCCATCCATAAATAAAGTCAATTCTTTTAATCTGTGTAGGCATGTGAAGGTCTACGATGTCGCTTCGTATCAAGTGGTCCACACCTTGACCTACTCAGGTCCCATCCTCAGTCATGCTGTGTCGGTAAGTTCACTTTTCTCACTTGGGTTGCTTTCGATTTTATCTAATTAACACAATAAACCTAGTTAGGATTGTGTGTTTATTATCTGTTTCATTATCTGTTCGCACATAGAGAATCGACATTAATTTAATTGCACAAAAATAATGTCTAATCACCTAGTAATTTTAAAATTCAAGTTTTTATATTGTGGTTAAAAAATCGATACTTTTTAATTGTATGTGACCTCCCAAACCCCGAGCTTAAATGATGATCTTGTTCTATTCACTTGGTAAACATTAACGTTTTTTTTTTTAGATAATTCGATCCATCTGTTTCAGATAAGATAGGTGTTTGATTTCTATGATGTGTTGACAGATGAGTCCCACTTTACTGTCAGTAACAAAATGCACATGTCTGTGTTGCGTTTTGTTGACACTTTCACCACCTGTTCTCTTTGATAAGTTTTTATATCCCAGCGTATGATCGAATATGGTTCAAATCCGCTCTCTCCCTTTTAAGTGTCCCCATCAAGTTGAGAGTTGGTGTGCATTAAAGTTGATGCGTGTTAACGGCGCTAGCTGGGAGCTGACTTACTTTAACCCTAGCACATGCAAAGCCGCCAGCTCCGCCTAATAGAGTTGGTGAGGGGGAGGGGAAGAAAATGGTAGAAATGTTCTATTAATTTGGATCAAATCAAAGCTCCGGCAAATCTCTAAAGCGCATCTCTCTCGCTCGCGCGCTGCTTCCAGCAAATGTCTGTAGACACCATCTGTGATGTAGCCAAGTGAGGGCTCCTCCGGATGAGAGATGTGGGGGGGAGGGGCTAGAGGGAGGGAGGGGGAAATCATAATCAAATCACACATCTTGACACATACATTTCCCTGTAGAACTTCACACGTTTTCAGCTACTCTTCCCGTTCACATTTTCCCCCTCCGTAACTAATTACATTTTTTCTCTCTTTCTTTTCAAGCCAATTTAAAAGCAGCTGTTTTTATTTTTTTATTTTTCGTAAAAAAAAAATTGCCATTGAGAAGAAAAAAAATCTACAATGACACTTTTTAAACTTTATTTTACGGGATTCGTTAATATTAAAAAGAACGTAAAGCAAAAAATAGTTAATATTATTCCAGTAGAAATTATCAAACATTCCACACGGCCATCTGCATGTTTTACATTTATTTGAACTGGATCAACCTAGGATACACTCATTAGAACCCCCCATTAACCAGCGCTCAATGCTAAATATTTTCTTCTGATATTCAACATCTGCATCGCTTTCGGCCTACGCTGTACTTAAGTATCTACCCCCTCCCTCCCTCCCCCTCTCTCTGCTGGTAGTACTATATGTATCCTTTATGTTTTACCAGGGGAATTACTCTTGAGGAAAGTAAAAGTTACAAAAAAAAAGTCTTTAAGTTATCTGTAGGATAAAAAGTATAGTTAAAATTACCATCAATATAGTTAAAATTACCATCAAAATGTTAATTAAAGTAAAGAAAACTTGTTTATCATAATAATACAACAACAAACAATTTAAAACGCGTACAGTGTGATTAGTGGTTTTTGTTGAGTTGTACATTTATTGTCTTTCCTTTGACAAACGACCATATGGGTTAATTGTATGTCAATATTGTGGCGTCACACCCCCCTCCCCCACCCCCGCCGTGTTATGTGGGTAAGTTGTATGTCAATATTGTGGCGTCCCCCTCACTTCCCCCCACCCCCGCCGTATAATGTGGATAAGTTTATGTCGATATTGTGGCCTCACCCCCCCCCCCCTTCCTCCGGCGTATGATGTGGATACGTTGTATGTGGATATTGTGGCGTCTCCCTCACTCCCCCCCCACCCCACCGTATGATGTAGGTGAGCAGCACGCATGTATGTGAGGACCGGTGTAGGAACACGGGTCTGAAGCAGCCCCCAGTCAGGTGAATTCTGCCGTGAAATGAGCCCCAAATTTGCCGAGCGTTTGTAGATGTTTATCACAGGGGTGATCACTTGTTGGGTTTACCCCCCCCCACCCCACCCCACCCCATCTCGACACTTCCTCTTGTAGCGACCCAGCTAGTTGTTGTTTATAATACACTGGGAGCTATTCTGTTGGTATTGGAGTTTTTTTTCTTTCTTATTTTAACCACGCTATTTTTACCTAAGACAATATAACATTTGGTTTTTGTGTACTTCCTTCCCAGTATATTTTGTTCTCTTGAAAAGCCAGGTGAAAACAAAAGCCTAATGCTAGCTGAAAATACATTTGGTCTACGATCATGTATTATATGAAAACTTTATCTGTTTACTTAGAAATTTGGGTTATCAAGAAAAATGTTTATTTCGTCAGTTAAAAATTGGGTGCCTAAAAGATAAGACAATAAGAAATCTTTATCTTTTGTAGTAGTCACATGTATGTATTGGATATGACAGTTGAAGGCTTAAAGAGTGTAGTTTAGCAGGTTTGAAATAACAAACATCCTGACCCAAACGACGGGGAGGGGTGGGGGGGGGGGGGGTTACCCACTCATGCATGAAAACAAATAACGTTGCTTAAAATTCTAGTGTCTGTCTCATCCTGGAAGTTGTTTGGGTGGGTGGGTGTGTTGGGGGGGGGGGGAGTAAATGTTGCTCCAGCAAGCATGAAAAAAAAGTACGCGTGCGCTAAGATTCTTGTGCTTCGACAGCTAATTATACAGAACCGGCTTTCTTTAACAAGGGGTGGCTTGCTTCTCCCGTCACCCTCATCTGGTCAGCTGGTGGGGCTTGGTCAAGGCTAGATGCCATTTGTACAGTCACATCTAAAACCTTGCACACCGAGCTATCTCATCCACTTTGTGCGAGATACCCCATCATATGATACAGTATGAATGACAGGTACAATACATTAATCAATCTCTCAACCTTACTAAGATAAAATTACGGCTGTTATTTGGTCGGTTTTTTTAGGCTTTTGATAATCACCCAAAGATGTACAGTATTTTTGTGAAGATAAACATATCCATGAGTTTGGAGTATAATGCATTTACTAACAGAACATAAACAATTTCTTGGAACTTGATGCATATCCTTTCACATTACTTGAAATTATTCTCCCTATAAGCGGATATAGAAGTGTAAGAAAGAAAACGTGGATCAGATAGGTTAAATGAAAGGAAGAAACGGGGTATCCGGAGATAAAATCTTACTCTGCCAGCGGTTTCCTCTCGCTTCTCTTGATGACAATTTTCTTTTTCAACTCGACTAGATACAAACAGGGTACAGGAGCGACTCGCCCCCATTAAGAGCTCTTAAAACTCTCAGCCGTACAGCGGTGGAAGATACCTCGGTCGCTGGTGACGTTACAATAAATTAGATTCTCTTGTAATGAAGTTTAGCTTTTAAAAGAACGTATTGAAAAGATGATTACCCTCTAAATGATTTTTTTTTCTCCCGGTCGGGCGTATCTGGTGTAGGGAACATGTTTAGTTTTAAAACTTCGTGAAATTCGGAAAATTGGAGGAACTGAGATTTGTATGAGATTTTCTCCCTCTCTCCCCCCACTCGCATCTAGTTGAGTCAGCGTCTGCTATACTCTGTTATCCACTGACTCCTACACCATCTCGCTGCAGGCACGACTCCTGCCTGATTGGCTATGTCTTTATGTATTTCCCAATGACCACTGACGAGCATTGACCGGTCAATGAAAACACATTTTTGTCATGGATTTTATAATTTTGACTTAGAAATAGCGCGGTTTCTCCACTGCAATTTACCGTGTATTTTTAAAAAATTGCATTTAAACCTAAGATAAGAAACCCGAAGTATTTATTCGGTACAACTTTTTGTCATGATAGTTTTTGTTTAATGGGATACTGCAAATCTATAACGATATCTGATTAAATACGTACACAAATCCTCATCTATTCTACTTAGACGCGAAGAATTTTTGTGTGTGCTAAAGTAAATTTGTAATTAAAAAACTATTACTTCCATTTGACATGAACATTGAGCACCTCACGTGACAGCTAAAATGGCTGTCGGCTGCACGAGGCAGCAGCCCGCGCTTTAAGCAGTTAATTTTGTTTTTCATAAAGCTGGAGTTTCCTGTTGATAGATTTACGAGTGAGAAATCCGGCAAGGAAAAACACTTCAAAAGTAGCTGTAAACGAGTTCAATCTATTTAAATAGCGCTTAAAAATTGGGTTCACGCTTTAAAAAAAATTATGTTCATTACAAAAATGGGCTATGTTTTATAGAGCAAAATGTAAAAATGAAGTGATGTTTGGCATATAGGAAAATGCGGGGGAAAAATTAGCTGATGTTTCGTTGAGCAAAATGTAAAAATGAAGTGATATTTCGTAGAAGATGTAAATATGAATTGGTGTTTCATAAGGGATATTTAAATGAATTGATGTTTTGATTGAAGGTATAAAAATGAATTGATGCTCCTTGGAGAAATCTATCATACGTGTTTCTACATCCGTTAAAATTAGTTTTTAACAAACCATGACTAGTCTAGATTTTAACAACCATGTTAACCGTTTTCTTGTTTCAAATGAAAATGAAAGATAACTGAGGGTGAAAGCCTGAGTAAATTTTACGTGACACTTATTTTTTTTAGGAGCATCGGTAAACACTGGCTCCTCCTGGCTTGACTTGCAGTATATGTGAACCAAGTTTAATTAAGGTTGTTAGGTTTTTTTTCTGGGGGGGGGGGGGGGGGGTTGAAAAAACTTTTTTTTTTATTATGTCTCAAATGAAAGTTAACTAAATACATTGACATTGCTAATATTAATGTTAATTGATATGGACAGTATTTGAATTGCTATTTATGTTGAGGATAAACCCACTACTAGTAACAAACGCGTGCACCTAGAGACAGGGGTAAAAAAAATGGAATGAAAACAATGAAACAAAACACCCGAAGGAACAGAACACAATGTCTAGCTTTGTGCCAACTGTAGGCATATTAAACACAAAATGAAATTTGCATCTGGGGATATTTTTTTTTATAACTCGTGTAAACAGACCTTGTCGCACGTGATGGGATCGCCGACCCCGTGGGTGAGTACATCAAACGGTAAAATCTGTTAGCACGTCACTGGCGGTACGAATCCGGGCGGGGTGCGAAAAAGAAATTGTCATACCCGGACTAACAAGAATGGGATCCCGGTTAACTACCCGCACGGAGCTTTTTTGCCACCCAACAAAAAGTGTGTTTCCCCCCCCCCCCCCCCCCCCCCCCCCCCCCCCGCAACAAAACCCAACCGCCCCCCCCCCCCCCACCTCAGATGGCTGTCTAAGCAATGATGCACAGATTGAAGTGGTCATAACCGTCTGTACCCCGACGTTACATTAGATCTGGGAAAGTCGTTTGCCCTGTGTTTCTTTCTCCTTCTGACTCCAGTACCTTTTCATTCATGCCGCGATATAGATTAACTCCCCTGGTACCTGTCATTCATACGGTTATATTGCTTAGCTCCCTTGGTACCGTATTATGTTTTTTCAACTGTTTTTTTTTATTCCCATTACGAACGTATCACTGGTGTTAATGGCTCGATTCCAGTTGACCACAGATTGTTTCGAAATTTTCATTTTTAAAACCCTAACTCTAACTAAACTGCTGTGAAATATAAACTAAAAGAAGTTGACACCTACATTTTGGCGTTAGTGATGTATCTCGGTATGAAAAGCATTTATTATATTAAAATTATCATTGGTCTTAAAATGTTGGGTTATCGCTCGTTGCAAGTTGAGATTTAGAAACTCGTTCAAGTGTATTAGCAGGTCTGGGGCAGGCTGTTTGCTGGGTGGGTGGGTCTGGGGCAGGCTGTTTGTGAGGGGTAGGTCTGGGGCAGGCCTTTTGTGGGTGGGTGGGTCTGGGGCAGGCTGTTTGTGAGGGGTAGGTCTGGGGCAGGCCTTTTGTGGGTGGGTGGGTCTGGGGCAGGCTGTTGGTGGGTAGGTAGGTCTGGGGCAGGCTGTTGGTGGTGGGTAGGTAGGTCTGGGGCAGGCTGTTGGTGGGTGGGTCTGGGGCAGGCCTTTTGTGGGTGGGTGGGTCTGGGGCAGGCTGTTTGTGAGGGGTAGGTCTGGGGCAGGCTGTTGGTGGGTAGGTCTGGGGCAGGCTGTTGGTGGGTGGGTCTGGGGCAGGCTGTTGGTGGTGGGTAGGTAGGTCTGGGGCAGGCTGTTGGTGGGTAGGTAGGTCTGGGGCAGGCTGTTGGTGGGTGGGTAGGTCTGGGGCAGGCTGTTGGTGGGTAGGTAGGTCTGGGGCAGGCTGTTGGTGGGTAGGTAGGTCTGGGGCAGGCTGTTGGTGGGTAGGTAGGTCTGGGGCAGGCTGTTGGTGGGTAGGTAGGTCTGGGGCAGGCTGTTGGTGGGTAGGTAGGTCTGGGGCAGGCTGTTTGTGGGTGGGTAGGTAGGTCTGGGGCAGGCTGTTGGTGGGTAGGTAGGTCTGGGGCAGGCTGTTGGTGGGTAGGTAGGTCTGGGGCAGGCTGTTGGTGGGTAGGTAGGTCTGGGGCAGGCTGTAGGTGGGTGGGTGGGTCTGGGGCAGGCTGTTGGTGGGTGGGTTGGTCTGGGGCAGGCTGTTGGTGGGTGGGTAGGTCTGGGGCAGGCTGTTGGTGGGTGGGTGGGTCTGGGGCAGGCTGTTTGTGAGGGGTAGGTCTGGGGCAGGCCTTTTGTGGGTGGGTGGGTCTGGGGCAGGCTGTTTGTGAGGGGTAGGTCTGGGGCAGGCCTTTTGTGGGTGGGTGGGTAGATCTAGGGTAGGCTGTTGGTGGATGGGTTGGTCTGGGGCAGGCTGTTGGTGGGTGGGTAGGTCTGGGGCAGGCTGTTGGTGGGTGGGTAGGACTGGGGCAGGCTGTTGGTGGGTGGGTAGGTCTGGGGCAGGCTGTTGGTGGGTGGGTAGATCTAGGGCAGGCTGTTGGTGGGTGGGTGGGTAGATCTAGGGTAGGCTGTTGGTGGATGGGTTGGTCTGGGGCAGGCTGTTGGTGGGTGGGTAGGTCTGGGGCAGGCTGTTGGTGGGTGGGTAGGACTGGGGCAGGCTGTTGGTGGGTGGGTAGGTCTGGGGCAGGCTGTTGGTGGGTGGGTAGGTCTGGGGCAGGCTGTTGGTGGGTGGGTAGGACTGGGGCAGGCTGTTGGTGGGTGGGTAGGACTGGGGCAGGCTGTTGGTGAGTGGGTGGGTCTGGGGCAGGCTGTTGGTGGGAGGGTAGGACTGGGGCAGGCTGTTGGTGGGTGGGTGGGTAGATCTAGGGCAGGCTGTTGGTGGATGGGTTGGTCTGGGGCAGGCTGTTGGTGGGTGGGTAGGTCTGGGGCAGGCTGTTGATGGGTGGGTAGGTCTGGGGCAGGCTGTTGGTGGGTGGGTAGGTCTGGGGCAGGCTGTTGGTGGGTGGGTAGATCTAGGGCAGGCTGTTGGTGGGTGGGTGGGTAGATCTAGGGTAGGCTGTTGGTGGATGGGTTGGTCTGGGGCAGGCTGCTGGTGGGTGGGTAGGTCTGGGGCAGGCTGTTGATGGGTAGGTCTAGGGTCTGGTGCCAGCTGCTGGCGGGAGGGCCGGGCCTGTGCAACATCTTCAGTCTGCAGGAGCGATCGTTGCGTCATGCAACTCTCTCAGCTCATTAACTGATCCACGTTCACATGCCAGATCCTGCTACACACACACTCCCACTGCTTTAATTAAACGAGAAAACTTTCAGATGAATCTCCGCATCTTCTTCTGATATTATTTCCTCCCTCTCTCACCAGCTTCTGGAGAAATAAAAATGTCTCCCGCCGCCCCGCCCCCTCACCCCACCCTTGCTTTCCTAACCCGTTCTTTAACAATTGAACGTGGATCAGCATGCATTCTCTCCCTTGCTTGTTAAATCGTTCACATCAAATGAGGATTTTTTTTTCCCCTTCTATATTCTACCCCCTTCCTATTCTTGTGTAGAGGCTGGTAGATTCCACGGCGATAAGGATTATAATGGCCATGAGATACACGGGATGCTGAGGGCTCGGGGTAGTAGACTTAAGAGCCGTTATCTTTTGCTGGGATTAAAGGAATGTTTCCTATGCCGAGATCAGCCGTAACGATAATCCCAGGGTTCATTAGTTAGTGTCTGCTAAGATTTTTTTTGTTTCATGATCTTAATACAGTGCTATATCGGCTGGGAGAAAGGAAACGGGAAGTTGGTGGAGGGGGGGGTGTAATCACGTGAAAGTATGAGCTTAATAGCCTGTGTAGGATTTGTATTACAGGTATGTTAAGGAGGATGGGGTCCTGCACTTGTTTTAGTCCTCGAGAGACGTATCCACCCTCACCTTGGCTGGGATTTTTGTTTTAATATCAGAAGATGGTCGATAAGCGGGGAATATTTGCGTCCAACTGTAACAAGGGGTTTTATGTGTTCAGATTTCATTAAGTTACCGCAGGCAGATGCTTCACGATAGGGGGATTCACACAGGCAGCTCTTGGTGGGCTTGGAATTATTATTTAATATAAACTGGCTTTGAACTGTTTTATCAGTTAACAAAAAAAGAAATTGAGTTAAAAAACAGAAAATGGGAAAGTCTTTTGATCTTAGATTATTCTTCTAAAGACATTTTTTTTATATTATGATTTTTTTAAAAGACTTTTTTTTTTTAAAAAGAGCTTTAAAACCTGTGAATTAACAACTTTGAAATTAATTTTTTTTACATTATGCTATTTTTGAGCACTTAAAATTTATTTTCATGTTTTTGGTGAGCAAGTCTGAATTCTTGTGTTTAATTTAAGCACATCCTCACAACCAGATGCATTTAGAGAATGTTTAAAATTTATAGTGCTTAATATTTGAAGATTTTACATATGATGATGTAAGAAAATAGTTATATGTTGTCATAGGTGCTACATCTGTATTGCTGTAACACCTGGACCACTTGATTACCTGCTCCCTCCTATCATAGTTACTTCTTCTTTACTGCTCTATCACCTGGACCAGAGGCGAAGCGACGGGAGGGGGTTACATATGTCCCCGGGCGTCCACCCTAGAGACGCCAAAATGGGTTGAAAAAAATAAAAGCTCATTTTAGCTGCAGTTTTGAATAATAAATATATAAAATATAGGGGGGGGGCACCAAATTGAAATTTTATCCCTGGGCAATGGGAGGGGTCGCTACGCTGCTGACCTGGACCATGCTCCGTCCTATCATAGTTACTTCTTCTTTACTGCTCTAACACCTGGACCATGCTCCCTCCTATCATAGTTACTTCTTCTTTACTGCTCTAACACCTGGACCATGCTCCCTCCTGTCATAGTTACTACTGCTGCTCTAAAGACCTGGTATTTACTCTACAACAAGGGTACATCCAAAAGTCTGTTTGGTTTCTTTGTTTTTTATAAGATTTCATTTGACATTGTTGTAAATGTATATCATTGTGTGTTTCTAGCCAGATGACAACCTGTTGGTGGTGGGGATGGCAGATAAGATGTTGTCCATACAGAGGAGAAAGCCAGATGTACAACCAGAACCTACCAGAAGCAAAAAGAATCTGAAACTGAGAGGTCATTCACACCATGCTAAAACATTTGTACCCAACAAAGTGAGTAGACCCCAGTATAGCTGGGCCAAATATTGTTTTCTACTGGTATTCCACTTCCCCATTGAGATCATATAGTCAATGGACAAATCACATTGATGTCATCAGCTTTTTCATCATGGTCAGCTCAAGTTTCTGGGTTTCTTTATAATAAACCCTTAGAAATGACTAGAGACTTGACATGACTTATTCCTTTAGAGCCCTCTCAGGAGTAAGGGTTGCAGCTACACCTCTACACCAGACTGTTTTGGGCAGCTCTCTTTAGTCAGGAATAAAGGCGGGGGGGGGGGGGGGGGGGGCTAATAAAATATATTTGCATCAAAAAACTTTTGAACTTAAGCATTTGTCATTATTTATGTACTCCCATTCAAAATGGAAAACTTAAAACTTTATAATAAAAATAAAATACAAAAAACAAAGACATTGTGGATCTCTAAAACATGTAACTTAAATTCTTGTATTTATCTGCTCCATAGACAGATAGTTTTATAGCCATTAAGAGACGTGAGCTTTTGGCACCATATGACAGACATTTAAAATCATTTAACCACACTAAAGCTTTGGATGCTGCCTTACAGGTATTTGTACACCAGTTGTTGTTTTTTTTTGTGGAAATACGCTATTTTTGAAACCATTGCTGAACAAAAGATTTGAAAAATAAAAAGTGATTTTAAAAAAACCGAAATGTACTTTAACAACATGAAATTGTAACCAACTTATCCGTCAAATTTTAAATAAATAACCATAAACTATGGAATGTAACGAAGTAAGCTCTAAATTTAAAAATATTTTTGCTCTGATTTTTCACCAGGTAAAAATCCGAGTCAATAATCCAGAAGTGACAGTTAGTGTCATGCAGGAGCTGATTCGACGGGGTCACATTAGAGCTGCATTATCTGGTAGAGATGACAATAGTCTTCTGATGGTGCTCCGCTTCATTCATAAGTAAGGAGTTTTACATTTCTTTTCATGTCTATGTAATATACTGCTGTTTTTAAAAGTAAGGCTTTGTGCCATTTAACGTAAGGAACCTCACATTTCACATATTTTATGTAAAATGTAATAAACTGCTATTTTTAAAAGTCGTGCTTTGCTTTATTCAAATTTGAATTTTTAACTATTGTAACAGAGCTTGTAAGTCTCTTTCACTTTCACATTGAAATCTCGTTGGCCAGGAAGAGAGATAATTTTTAAAACAAATTAATTGTTGTAAATGTGGTGGCTTTTTTTTTTTCTAGGCATCCCTTCAAGATTGTTAAAATACCAAGATTACTCAAATTGCATCAAATAACCTGTCATGGATTTGAATTAATAATTTTAAAAACTTTAAGCTTCTCTGAAAAATCAATCACAATCTAACGTAGGCTATATTTTTCTTTAAGCTAGCCTGCATCTTGTAGTCTAGCATCATCATTGTTCACGATTTTAAATAACTTAACAATAGCGGAAGTAACTATTCTTTTTACTTTTTTTACCGATCATATTTGCTTTGAAAAATACTAGCTGGCAGGTACGAGAACGAGAAGTTAGTGACCTACTTACAAGCCCTATTAATAACTGACATATTTTGTTAATCATAGACATAAAAACCGTTTAAAATATTTTGTCAAATTTCTAGTCATATACACTTTTTCCCTTTTAATTATTGCTGGTAATTCTTTTCCTGATATTACTGTAAGTTCGCAGGACTTTAAAATTTTTCCTGCTTCTGTTGTGTAAGGAATTTTACTTAAGTAACAAAAACCATTGCCTAAGTTTAAATTATTCTTAATGGATCAAAATGCTGTACATAGAGTCTAAGCACAGTAATATAAAAAAAAAATATTTTCCACTCACCTGTTATGTTAAAGTCATTAGTCTGAAGTTCAGGATCTGTATGCTCATAAGTTATATCAGGGGAGGGAAAAAAAACAACAGGTGTTTTTTTTTTCCCCACAAGGTATGTTAAAATCCCACCTGAAAATCTGAAAACAAGATTCCTGTATTTTAAAATGTTACCTTCCTATGGGGGATGATCAGGATGATTCCACCAGTCAAAGTAGATGTGAAATGTATTGCGTGTAATTATGAGAAAATTCCAGCCCATTAGCCTGAAATTCTAGCTGAATCATTTACCTGTGCAATCCATTAACTCCTCATGCATGAATGAGAGTGCACCACAGGAAGTGCATGTTGTAGAAGCGAGAGGATACAGGAAATAAATTCTGGGGCATGCCTCTATTATTGTATAGGTGGAGGGTGGGGGGAGAATTACCCAGATGCCAGCATTAGAGAAGTTTAAATATTATCCTCAGTAATGAGTTATGGTTTTGGTTAGGGGAAAATATTTCACCAGTTCTGTACTCATTTGGTTGACTTGATTTTTAATTTCTTATGGCTTTACAAATGTTTGTACTTTGTTTTTCAACTTTTTCCTTTCACTGTAAATTAACTGCTCTAATGTTAGATGGGGAAGAGATATAGGGCTGGGTGAGTAGAAGGAGGAATGGAGGATTAGTTGGAGAAAAAGGAGGCAAAAAGCTTTTAGATTTTATTTTCAGCATTCATGTAATAGAAAGTCAGCTGACGTTTAGCTAATTTAATCAGCAGCATATGTGTCATATAAGTAATGTTTTACGTATACCTTTATGTAGGATTCAATCTTTTTATTTTTAAATGAAATAGAAATAAAAGATCTACACCTTGCATATCTCAACCATGTTTTTATTTTCTACCACTACTTTTGTATGTCCTCAGAAACCTGAGTAATCCTGCCTTTATGAGTACACTGATGGATGTATTCAACCTGATACTGGGTAAGTCATGTTAACACACTATTGGAGACAATGTACTTTTATTTGACCATATACACTTTTTTTTTTTGTTATGGTTTGTTTTGAAAAAAAAATTAGATGTAGGCCTATTTATACTTGCTTTATTTACTATCATAAAATGTAAAATACATTCTAATTTTGAAATCCTTATACATGTTTTGTCACAGAAATCTATGGTCTGTCTGAGTTAATGAACAGTGGTCCTCTGGTGTCAGTGCTGGTGAAGATTAAAGAGCTGGTCAACTTGGAGGTCCGTCTGATGACCAGTGTCCAGGAAATCATGGGCTCCTTAGATCTGTTGTTTGCTGTAGCTGAGAACCAAACTCTGCTACCCACAACCTCGAGTGCCAGTGGGGAAAATGGGATGGAAACAGACAGTAACACAGTTAATGAACTTGTTGAAGGACATTCTTTGTTGAGTCAAATTGGATCATTGGCGACACATGCTGATCACATGATCAAAACATAGTGTTCACTATAGTTTTTATTATTATTAATGTCTTAAAAATGTATTATGAAAATTCTACACAATTGTTGAAATTAAAATGCATATTTAATTTAAAGACTTCTACTTTTAATATTTGTGTTTTTGTATAGTGTTGATTTTAGTTCAGATATTTTAATTTACTTATTATTGAAATATGGTCAAAGGGGAATAACTCAAATATTTAATTTTCCATTCGGTTCTTTCCCCATTAAACTACCTAATTTCTTTGCGCTCGATCTCACGTGGTCACAAATAAATTTGTAATTAAAGTTAAAAAAAAACCCACTAATTTTTAGATTTTAATTTATTACTTTTAACTTTCATCTTGTCCATACAATCCTCCCACATGCAGGCGTTTATTTTTTTTAAAAATTAACTTTGGTGCGAAATTGAAAACCAATGCCATAACACCGACGGTATAAGTAATCAATCAAATGTAGGTTTATTAATCACCTAAATGCTACAGGCTAAATTGAACTATTCTTACTGCGCGCGTGACGTGATCATCGCCCGGTTTTATTTTAATCATTAAGGATTCGCCTGTTCAATTTATTTTTAAACTTAACTCGTATCCAGGAAAACTTGGTAAATTAATTGCTCTGGTGGAACGGACAACTTGCGTCTTAGTTGAACAGATACAGATCTAGGCCTACATGTTCTTGCTTTGAATACTTTCGTGAAACTGAACTATGTGTTTGTTATTCTTTAAAGCATGTCTGTTCATAAACATAGGCGTAACAGGTTATTTGATTCAATGGCTCGATTTATTTGGCCCATGCACTAAGTCCACTGTTGATCATTTCCATTTTTAATAAAGTGTATTACTGTCCCCTTCCGACACGGTAGTCGAATTCGTAGTTTTCTTTATACTTTTGAGCGATTTTCGGTAACCGAAAATGGCACTCTGAAAAAACTTGAGTAGGCCTACTGTTTCAGTTGCATAACTAAATAAAATAGCTTTTTCACTGTTTTATATCACATTGTGAGTGACAGCCGGAAGTAGTACTTAACCCTATTTCTGATTAAAAATGTTTCCTAAAGAAAATACAAATTTTCTGCTCTATAATTTACACTGTTTGCATTCAATTCAGGGGTCACCCACAAATAAAGTCACGTTTTTTTTTTTGACAATTTTTACCTCCCCCTCCCCTCCGTCACACATTGTCTGAACTCTGTCAACATAGAGTGTTTTAATCAATTCCTATTACAATTTATTATAAGTTTTCTAAAACGCGACATAACGGCTAAAATACGTTTTCTAACATTTTTTTTTTTTTACTTTCTCGTATATACGAAGTATAGAGAAAGTCTTAATTATAATGCAAAAGTGTAACGTCACAAAATCTGAACCCTCCCCCTCATCACACAGTCACAAAATTACGGACCCCCTCTTCGAGTGTGACGTAATTTATGGACGACCCCTAAGCTGCTTCTTTAGTAAGTTAACAGCAAATCCAGAATTGCATATTATAAATAAAGTTGTATTGGCATTTTACTCAATTGCGAGACGGATATTTTTTGTACGCATGTCATAATTTACATAATACTTGACCGATGGAGATGAAACTTGGTATACTATGTCAAGACATCCACAACATCATTTTCCATAGTCCATACATAGAATAATTTTTTAAATAAAAAACTGATGTCGTATCGGAAGTGTAAATGGCACACTTGTAAAACATAATCATTAATAATTAATATAGCTACAACAATAGAAAAATAGGAAAGAAAAAATTATTGTTCAAATCGAGAATGGCCGTAATGGCGGCCGCTTTCAGCCAACTCGGCATACGGGCTTCTAGTGAGACATGACATTGCCAACGCCGATCTCTTTCGATAAGAAGCAGATGATTTAGGGCAATAGTAAGAGCAGTGTTTCTTCCAGACTTTTTTCTCCCGGGGGGGGGGGGGGGGCACTTGACATTTTCGGAGGGGGGGGGGGGGGCGGTAGACTTTCTTCGGGGGGCGGACACTGTTAAAAGTATATATTTTCTATACAAATTATACAAATTTCATTTCGCTCGGGGGGGGGGGGGGGGGCGGTAGATTTTTTGGGGGGGGGGGGCTTTGCCCCCCCCCCCCAAGAGATGCCTGGAAGAAACTCTGAGTAAGAGAGCCTAGATATTTTCATTAGAATAATCAATAATCATTCTAGATCTGCTGGCCTGCAAGTGATTTTTTAACTGTCAACTTGCAACTAGATAAGGAATACAAACAGAAGCTGGTGGAGATCTTAGAAGCAAACAAGAAAGATTAGATAAACATGAACATTGTACCTGTTGCTCAACTAGGCGTCGAGAAGGCGAAGAAGAATGTATGCATAGCGTTATAAAAGACTTAATATTATATACATCATCATGCACTTATTGACATCTTTAATGTCGAGGTTTCTAAAAGAGAATATTCATCCTTCATATTATTCATAATCAATTTAGCTACATTTGATTGTTGTTTTACATTTTTGGTTGAGTATATCGTCGAAAAAAGACGTCACCTTTGACTATACATATAAGTTTACTATAAACTTAATCTGTGCTGAAAATATAGGTTAAATTTTCCTAATGATAGAAAAATTATTAAAATGAGCAGGCCCACTTTTTAAACCCTAGGCCAGGGCTCGGCAACCTTTAGAGACGGAAGAGCCAAAAGTTACAGTTTACAAAATTTCCTAGTTTTAAAGAGCCACTAACAATTTTATTTCAATTTTATGATATTTGATTAGGATTAGGTATATATATATACTAGGCATACTGCCTAGCTTCGCTTAGGTTTTTAAAAAACATTTGAGAATTTGAATACTTAATTATTTAGCGATGGATTGGGTGTGGAGTGCTTTAATAAGTTGAATTTAAACAGTAATGCTAACTTTAGAAAAGACATGTTTTTGTTCGTCATTTATATTATGTTCGTACAGAATTTTTGGAAAGTACGCAATGTATAACTAAAATGGAATTAGAACTACACAGGTTTCATGAACAGTATATCTCATAGTTTATATTACATTGCCTTTTGAAATTAATTAATTAATTTAATTAACATACTTAACTAAATTAACAACTTAATTTTGTACTAAAACAAATGCTATACTTCGTCATTTTCTGTTTCTGTTTAAAATAGTATACAATTATTTGAAAAATAATAATTTTAAAAACGTTACCTCCCTTGAAAACTGAACGTATGACGTATGTCATTGTTTACTTATATTGTTTGCTTATATAAGAAATTACGTTATATGAACATATTTAACGACTATAATGGCTGTTTATGACGGGAATAAAGTTTTTTTGTTACCCTCCATGGTCGGTCTACGACGTCACATAATATTAAGGGGATCGTTCGTCAATTTATTTATATATATATATATCTCGTATAAGGAGAATTTCACTCAAGATCATCTTTTAGCCCTCGTCGAGGGCTTTGAGTCTGACCAACAGTTTTTCCATACGGCCTAGTCATCTTTAGTAGTGTATGCAAAAACGTAGCATGATGTACAGACATTAAGTAACCTAAAAATTGTGTTAAAATTTCCCTGTTTTTCCCATAAAATACATAGATTATATAGGGAAATACAACTGGTCAGTTTTGACCGCTTTACGAAGTTTTCCCAGATATGCCGAGTTTTTTGTGACACCCCTAGGTGTTCTTCTACCACCTCACAAAATATCAAGGGGGGTCGTCGGAGGAATTTTTTTTTCGTAATAGAGCTCATATAAAGAGAATTTCACTCGCGGTCACATTTTAGCCCTCGTCGAGGGCTTTGAGTGAAACCGACAGTTTTCCCTAAAGGTCAAGCCATTGACCTAGGAGCATGCAAAAAATTAGCCAGATATACTGAGCTTAAGTACCCTAAAGTCTGCGTTGAAATGACCCTCTGTTTTTCCCATAAAATACAAAGATTATATAGGGAAATACAACTGGTCAGTTTTGACCGCTTTACGAAGTTTTCCCAGATATGCCGAGTTTTTTGTGACACCCCAAGGTGTTCTCCTACCACCTCAGAAAATTTCAAGGGGGGTCGTCGGAGGAATTTTTTTTTCGTAATAGAGCTCATATAAAGAGAATTTCACTCGCGGTCACTTTTTAGCCCTCGTCGAGGGCTTTGAGTGAAACCGACAGTTTTCCCTAAAGGTCAACCCATTGACCTAGGAGCATGCAAAAAATTAGCCAGATATACTGAGCTTAAGTACCCTAAAGTCTGCGTTGAAATGACCCTCTGTTTTTCCCATAAAATACAAAGATTATATAGGGAAATACAACTGGTCAGTTTTGACCGCTTTACGAAGTTTTCCCAGATATGCCGAGTTTTTTGTGACACCCCTAGGTGTTCTTCTACCACCTCACAAAATATCAAGGGGGGTCGTCGGAGGAATTTTTTTTTCGTAATAGAGCTCATATAAAGAGAATTTCACTGGCGGTCACATTTTAGCCCTCGTCGAGGGCTTTGAGTGAAACCGACAGTTTTCCCTAAAGGTCAAGCCATTGACCTAGGAGCATGCAAAAAATTAGCCAGATATACTGAGCTTAAGTACCCTAAAGTCTGCGTTGAAATGACCCTCTGTTTTTCCCATAAAATACAAAGATTATATAGGGAAATACAACTGGTCAGTTTTGACCGCTTTACGAAGTTTTCCCAGATATGCCGAGTTTTTTGTGACACCCCAAGGTGTTCTCCTACCACCTCAGAAAATTTCAAGGGGGGTCGTCGGAGGAATTTTTTTTTCGTAATAGAGCTCATATAAAGAGAATTTCACTCGCGGTCACTTTTTAGCCCTCGTCGAGGGCTTTGAGTGAAACCGACAGTTTTCCCTAAAGGTCAACCCATTGACCTAGGAGCATGCAAAAAATTAGCCAGATATACTGAGCTTAAGTACCCTAAAGTCTGCGTTGAAATGACCCTCTGTTTTTCCCATAAAATACAAAGATTATATAGGGAAATACAACTGGTCAGTTTTGACCGCTTTACGAAGTTTTCCCAGATATGCCGAGTTTTTTGTGACACCCCAAGGTGTTCTCCTACCACCTCAGAAAATTTCAAGGGGGGTCGTCGGAGGAATTTTTTTTTCGTAATAGAGC